TTCTCTGTATTTCCTCGTGCAACCTGGCAATGGGAAAACCAACTTCCTTGATCCATGAGTGTTCCAGTAAACTTTGGGACACAGACTAATGCAACACATATATATGTTTTACACCACCTGCTTTTCAGAGTTGATCACTTTGTCATTCAGTTTCCTCCCCAACTACAGATCCCTCAAAACCAGATTTCTTATCTCCAAAAAAACAAATCAAGGAGATTGGAGCAAAGCGCTCATATTTTCACCCATGTGGCAACAATTTGCAAATTGCTAAAGAACTGCTAAAACTTAGATGCATGCCTGTTAAGGCATTGGAGGGGTGTGTGCTGCTGCAAAACTCTAAAGCCTACATATTTCTACACCAGTCTTAATTTAGTACAAATAAAGACTGCTTTTAGGACACGGGTGGCGCTGTGGTCTAAACTACAGAGCCTAGGGCTTGCCAATCAGAAGGTCGGTGGTTCGAATCCCTGTGACGGGGTGAGCTCCCATTGTTCGGTCCCAGCTCCTGCCCACCTAGCAGTTCAAAAGCACATCAAAGTGCAAGTAGATAAATAGGTACTGCTCCGGCGGGAAGGTAAACGGTGTTTCCGTGCACTGCTCTGGTTTGCCAGAAGCAGCTTAGTCATGCTGGCCACATGACCCGGAAGGTGTCTGCGGACAAACACCGGCTCCCTCAGCCTATAGAGTGAGATGAGCTCCGCAACCCCAGAGTCGTCCGCAACTGGACCTAATGGTCAGGGGTACCTTTACCTTTATCTTTAAAGACTGCTTTGCATCTTCTAGCCAAGTCAATGCAGTCAAATAAGATCAACAATGTAACTGGAAAACTGCATGGCAGTTCATTCCATTTAGGTTACATGCTCAGAACTTCAGTTTCTCATGAACAAAACCTTCTGAAACCATTCCTGTCATGTGAAGAATGAGGCAATATATAACATCCAAGTTAACATTGGAAGAAGCTGATGAAAGCTGATGAAGCAACTTCCCTACGAGGAAAGCTTGCAGCATTTGGGACTTTTCAGTTTAGAGACAAGGTGAGTGGTGACACAATAGGAGTTGATAAAATTATGCCTGGCATAGAGGAAATTCACAGAGAAATGTCCCCCTCCCCCATAACACTGGAACTTGTGAGTATTCAGTGAAGCTGAATGTTGGGAGATTTAAGACAAACAATGAAACTCACTCCCACAGGAAGGAAGCCGCAATGGCCACCAGCTTGAAGAGCTTTAAAGGGGGAGTAAACAAATTCATGGAGGAGAAGGCTTATTAGAATTCCTGCTCCATGATTGCAGTCATGGGATTGTTGTCTATCCCATGACAGTATATGTTTTGACTCCACAGAGTGGGAAGTGACGGAGACAGGATGTTTGTGTTACTGTGTTCCCTGAAGTGCGACTATTGTCCTTGTCCTTTTTCTCTTTGCTGTCTGATGCTAGAGAGGGAGGGAGCCATGTTGCAGTGCTCCGTGTGTGTTTATATGTAAATACAGTAGATTAGCCAAAATGCTGAGTTGCTGAGGTCTGTTACGCAAGCTGCGAAGACTTTGTGGATCCCTAAGTGTGCCAGTGTCTGTTGGCATCGATCACTGCGACGTTCGGGCAGAAGAAAGCTTTTGAAGCTCCCGAATGAAAGACCAGGAGGGATAGAACATGCTAGTCGGGCATGTGTCTCTGCCAGGGTCCTACTCGAGTGTAGGCTGAACTCCTGACAAGGCTATCAATGACTCTTAGCAATGGGAGGCAGTAATGCTTCTGAATTCCTTTTTGCTAGAAACCGCAGGAGAGCAGTGGGATCTTGTGCTCACGTCCTGCTTGCATGCTTCCCACAGGCATCTGGTTGGCTACCGCGAGTTCAGGATCCTGACTAGTTGGGCTGTTGGCCAGATCTATCAGGCTCTTCTCATTTCCTTATGAAATTGAGGTTTTCAAGACATTCCAGAAGCAGAGGATGTCAGGGCTGGTGTGAGAAAGCAGGTACATACCACAATACTTTTTAGGTTTGTCTCCCCAAGTGGGAGACGTCATAGTTTTTGCTCTGGAATGTCGAATGGCATTATCTGAGGAACATGCAGGAGTGCAGCAGCAACATCTCCCAATACCAGGCAGCGTGGAACGTTGTTAAATACAAGTTACCTATAAATTCACTTTTTGTGTGTGTTAATTCTAGCAGAAATATAGTTTTCAGACAGAAGTGGCTACTGCATCATTCCCAATACTTAAACGCTGTGATATACTGACAAGCCTAAAAATGCCCCCTCCCTCCCCCCAAAAAATTAGAAACCTAGAAAGCTGCCATAAACCAAGTCAGACCATCAATTCTCCTAGTTCAGTATTGTCCACACAGCTTGGCAGCAGATCTCCAGGGTTTCACGCTGGGTTCTCTCCCAGTGCTATGTGGAGATGCAGGGAATTGAACCTGGAACATTCTGAATGCAAAGCAGATTCTCCACCACTGAGTCACAACTCCACATACTTTTTAACTTAGCAAATTAAGCAACTGGCTTGCCTGTGTGTTAACCAAAGAATGACCATTTGAATGCACCAAGCCTTGGGAGAAACTATTGAACGTACCTATATATTATCTCCAGCATGCAGGGAATGAAAACGATGTCTATTTCTAGCAGGGAGACACTATCCTTTGGACCCAGAGATATTGCCTAAAGTAATGCATCTTACTCAAAAAAATGGAATGTATTGGTCTCTCCCCCTCATCTTTTCTGTTTGAGATTTTTCAAAAAACATCTGAACTACAAGGGAGAGGGAGAACAGAGGGTGAAACGCCATGCATCAGTTTGGTCTTTCTTAGTAACACCCAGCAGGCTCCAGTAGAGGTCACTACTACACACAGCTGCAAAAAGTTTTAAGTTTATGTCAAGAATTATATTATTAAGCAGCTTCAAAATACGGGCATGAATATGGATTTTGGAGAATGAATATAGAGCAGGGGACAAAGCTCACTGTCTGCTTTCAGTCGGTTAACCCAAACTATTCTGTGTCCAGTTCTGATAACAACAATGACAATAACGTTTATTTATATCCCATCTTTCCTCCCCAGAGCAAGACTCAAGGCGGCTTACACAAATTGAAACAACACAGATGAAATACAAAAGGCTAAAAGATAATAGCTGAAAAGTAATTAAAATATAACAGAATTTAAACCTTTTAAAATATACATACCAAAAACAGTACAGCACAGCACAGCAAAGCTATTTCTTTCTTTTCTTTTCTTTTCTTTTTAAAAAAACAGTCCCCAAAGGCCTTTTGAAATAAAATAGTCTTTGTTTACCAGCGGAAGGACAACAAGGAGGGAGCCAGTCTAGTTTCTTTAGGGAGAGCGTTCCAAAGCCTGGGAGCAGCCACTGAGAAGGCCCTTTCCCGCATCCCCACGAATCGCGCCTATGAAGGTGGTGGGACTGAGAGAAGGGCCTCACCCAAAGATCTCAGAGCCCAGGCAGGTGTGTGTGGATGAATAAAGTCCTCCAGAAAGCCTGGGCCTAAAACTCCTGAAAAGCTAGCAAGGCTAAAATCATTGATGAGGGAGAACCAGTGCAACCAACTGGCGTGAGTACTTCAACTTAAAAAGCAAGGTTTTGCCAGGTTCAGTTCAGCTACAGCATATGAAGGCCAATTTACACTGTCTGTCACTGAGGTGGGTACAGCTGCATGGGAGGATCATATGATCTCCATTTTTACGTGGCAAGGTGGGCTTGTTTGTTTGTCTTTAGAACATGGAGCGTGGAGAGCATTTAAGAGATGTGTAAATTTGCAACAAGAGTTAACCCATGTGAAAACTGAAGCAATAACATGGCTCGGAAGTTCTGTAACTGAGTGTTTTATTGCCCCAATTCACTGAGGGAGGTCTGGGCACAGAAACAGGGATCCTTGCCAAGTATTCCCTGCTGGCTTCGACACAGTGCAAAAGAGGCTGCCAATGCACACAATTTATGTGCCCAGGTGTCTATCAGGTGTGTGTGCAAAGTTCAGTTGGTGGCTAGGGCTGTCGCCTTCAACAGCACTCACCAACCAACCATCTCCTGCAGAGACATTGGACACACACTGTCAGGGGTGAATATCAATGAAGGTAAGCTCTACCTTTTCTCAAAAGGCTATTCAGTGCTGGTGCAAGAATGCCTGTACAGATTCTTGCATCTACTTCACAATGGAATCTTTGGGTTGGAGTTGAAAGTGTTGGATTGGTTGGTGCCATGTTTCTTTTTTATGGCTTCAAAGCAATATATTAAAACTATGGAATGACGTCTTGTATAGGGCTGATTCAAAAATCAGTGAAATAAGTGCCACTGACTAATTTTGCACTACTTGATACCAAACAATGTTGAACCTAAGGATGTCCACCACAACTGTACAAACACGCCCCCCAAACCCCCCCCCACAGATTTTCAAATACTGCAAGAGCAAGCAGTTATGTTTGCTAAATTTTTATCCTGGTGCATCCCAAAACAGTATGAACACATGCTAGGAATCAACCACCAACTGGATGCAATACCAGTTGTGTAAAGTGTGACACTTGTACATTCCAAACTGGGGACAAGAACTTTGAACTTCAGGTGAAACTTTTCGAAAAAATGAATTTAATACAAAAATTATAATTGCATATAAATCGAGCTCAACCTATAAAATAAGTACCGTTTTTTAATGTTGCATTTTTAGAAGGCACACTATCATCCTTTCTGTTTCCAGAGTGGTGGACATGCTATTATGTTGCAGTCAAAACAAAAGCATGTATTGTGGTATCTTAAAGACCAACCAATTTTATTATGGTATGAGGTATTTTCATTGACTAGAATCCATTCCCTTTAGATGCAAGATGAAGTAGAGTCTAGTCCAAGAAAGCTGTTAGTCTTTAGGGTGTCCCTAGATCTTTCGTTGCTAGAAATGTCAAAAGTTATACAGCTTGATTGGCAACCAGAAAGCTAGAGAAAAAACAGCTGATAACGTTACAACAACTTGAACATATATAGTAATAATCCGAGCAATACTTACAGACCACATAAGTATCAGCCTTCTGGCAACATAGGGGTTAATGCTCCAGTAACTGAATGGGAGGAATGTGATGTAGAAAACCTCTTGACCCATTGCAGCGGAAATCCTGAACAGGTAGTAGTAGAAATAATTCTTTACAACGTATTCTTGTGAACAGTCCTAAGAGAAATTGTTTTGTAAAGGTTAATATGTTTTGCTGAAGAGAAACCAATGTTACTTCGCCACTCTAACAGCCCTCCAGAAACTAATTTGTTATTCAAATGATCTCTTTGCATGTGACATTTGGGTCCTCATGTTTTAACACATGGGTGCATGCATTTCCCGCCTAACTGGCCTTTTTTAAAATTTAATTTGTTAAAAATGTCTTTTAACCCACATTAATCTATTACATCATGCAAAACACACAAAGCTGGTAATGCACCAAAAAATTTAAAAGCCTAACGTAGCTCAAGAAGTAACAGCCTGCTTTCTATTTGCTCCTAAGCTAAAACCAACTAAATAATAAGCAAATAATGAATCAAATCCATGTTGTACAAGATACCATGCTGATAAGGTATTGTTCTGAATACATAACAAGGAGGAGAACCAAGACACCATAATTTAATCTGTCCCTGTGATCAGAACAAAAACTTATAGGGCTGATTATTTAAAACCTCAGACTTCATTTCATTTTGTTTGCAATATTATCTAAATGTTACTACATCGCAGTGAATGGCACACAATGAAAATCTTCTTCCTTGGACAAGATACAAGCAACCAGTATTTATTTTCTCAACAGAAAAGCATTTTTCCTTCACCCCGGTATGGCTCCCCTTTATCACATACACAGCCCAACAGGACAGTGACAATAATCCACCAACAGCATACAAATCAATATGGCTAACCTGATCCAAAACACCCACCCACCTCACTCACACACGAAAACAAAGATCACCACAGCCAATCACAAGCAAACAATCACACCCTAGGCCAACCCCAACCTCTCTCACCACCAAAGGAACACAAGTGAACAACACAAGCAACGCTGACACGAAACTCTACACACATTAAACATAATAGAAACACTGCCACCCGACCCCACCCCCATCCATCTTCCCTCTCTCCACCCCCCTTTCTTTTTTCTTTTTCTTCTTCTCCCCCTAATGCCTCAACAAATGAAACGGATTTGTAAAAATGTTACATGGGAAAAAACCAAAACAAAACATTACACTTACTTCTGTAAAACAAGAAAATCCTTAATAAAATATTTTTTAAAAAACAAAAACAAAAACCAGAAAAGTGTTTTTCTAGTCTGAGAATACCATTAACACCCACAAATCAACGAAGTTCTTATGTGAGTGTTGATGTGTGCAGGCAGTGGGGGCAGAGGACAGGATACAGCATTTCCTTTAAGTTTTCCTTTGCTTCTCGTATTGGGGGGGGGGGAGCTGTTCGTTGGAAAACAAAAGGAAAATCTCCACTTAGGCATATGCCTTCCCAAACAGCCAACTGCTCTCAAAGGACGAGGGACACCTTTCTAAGGTGGCATGGATAGTTGCAAAGGCAGATGCAGGCATCTTACTCTCAGTGACTGAGACAGCAGACTGAGCATTTGCTCACTGACATCCTTGCCTCCCCAAGGCACTATAAAGAGGGGCAAAGTTGCCAGTACAAAAACTAGCATTACTTAAAAATCAATATAGCCATCAACGATTAATGAAACACTTATCCTGCTGAGGATGATATAAAACAATAACAAACAAAGAAACATAAACATTATATAGGCCAAGATAAGAAAGACATCAGATAGGAACCACAAAATGGTGACTTCCCCATCAGGGAAGAAGATGTGAGTGAAGATTTATGTCAAGAACATGGAAGGGGGGAATAAAGATCTACACTGAGAACAGGGGGCACTCAAATCAACCTTACCCAATGGTTGAAGTGGAACCAAAGGCCATCGTGGGAAGGGGCCCACTCTGAATCACACCCAGGGGGTGCAGAGCCCAGGAGCCCCCACCATTTCCTCCCAAAGGGTGGGATGAGACCAGTATAGCCTCCTATTCACCAAGAAGCCACCAGGTAGAGGCATCATTGTGGGGAAGGTGTTGAAAGGGAGGAGACAGATCTAGTCTCCAAGGAGCATGCCACAGCCATAGCTGCCACCACAAGAGTGGCAGCAGGAGATGCATTCCTAGAAGGCCAGATTTGCTGCTCCTGTGAATCCTTCCACCTGAGGCAGTCACCTCTCCTTGCCTCACGGATGGGTTGGCCTTATTTGTCCCCTTCTAACTATATTTGGGAAAGCTCAGTTTTATTTAAGTGAACAAGCTATGCAAATCTAATGAAAACAGGGGGAGAGGGAGAGGGAGAGGGAGAGAGGGGGGCCTGTCCATCCAGAAACCAAACAAATGCACAGTTATGAAATGCATTGTGCGGGGAAGTTTGAACCACATAACTTAACTGGCATTAATGATATTTTCTTCCTGCTTGATTTTCAGAGTAATTTCCTTCAAGGCAACTCCATTTTTAATACTTCCTTTTCATTCCAGGCAACAGCATCGCTTCATCACAGTGTTCATTTCCACACATAATATTTACACAATAAGTTATTTTACACAACGAAATGGAATAAGCAAATAGACTGAAGACACTTTTGGGGCACGACTTCAACAGTGGTAAATTCATCTGAACTGAACTCTGAGGTCAGACTGGATAAGCAACCTGAACAACAACAAAGTGAATAGCGACAGCAGCTTGTTTCGTAAGGTCTCTCCTTTTTGTACGATGGTCTGAAGCAGCATCCGCTGCTTCCAGAGATTTTGAAGCACAACTCCCATCATTCCCAGCCAGCATGACTGTATACTCCAAAAACACCAAGCACTAGAGGTAGCACTGGGATAGATCCCTGCCTGAAACCCTGGAGAACCACTAGCAGTCAGTGTTGACAATACTGAGCTAGATGGACCAATGCTCTGATTCAGTATAAAGGCAGCTTTCCATGGAGGAAGGATGCCGACAGGAAGTGTAAAGCTAAATGGAAACAGGGCCCTGGGAGCAGTTAACTGCCAGCCAGTCTGGTATGGTGGCTGTTCAAATCTCATTGAGCCACAAAGCTCAGTGTGTGACTTTAATGCATTCTTCTCTCAGCAAAGTCTACCACAAGGAATAGGTGAAACGGACAATTTTGATCTCTCTTAGTTTCTCTGTTTTCCATTCTTAAGTTCAGTTCTTTACATTTTCACATCAGTTTGTGATTTTTTTAAAGTCCTCTTGAAAATTCGTCAGCATTTAAGTGTGAATTTCTCAAAATAAACATTTTTTAATGCAGTTTAGCCTAATATGCACATTTTTGCAAGGCAATTTTCCCCAATACAATGCATTTTTTAATGTTTTCATTTCATGCACACTTTAGCGTGGAATATGTATTTTTGAACTCACTGCTTGGTGGGAACACTGCACTGCAAAATTCAGAGTAGTGCAAATTTTGAAAGACGACTGCGCTTTGGTTCATGCATTGCTTGCAAACAGTTGGTTCATGTATTGTTGGTGAAAATTGGGTTGGTTTGCCTTTAAAAGCAAAGCGAATTCCTCCCTCATCTCTCTACCTACCAGGGTAAGAACATTTTGAGGGCAAAATGTGGGAAATTATGTACAGTAGACCATCCCAGGTTGCTTGCAGAAAGGGCAGGATGAACATGCAATAAATAAAAAATAAATGTGTGCATTTTTAAAAAATGCACACCACTTACTAGCATAAAACACCTCTAAGCAGTTTACAAAGAACATTGGGCAGGAAACTCAACAATGGTCAGAGAGGACCTGGATACAGAAGTATGGCATGATGAAAGGACAGATGGAAAATATGGGAGGATGTGAAGCGGTGCAAAAAAGGAGAGAGATGAAAAACAATAGGCTGTGGGGAAATCCCACAGAACCTGGGGACAAGAGGAGTTGTGTGTGGTTAAGATAAAGGTGAAGGGAAAACAGCTAAAGAGCAGGGCAGCTGTGTTGGCAACAAGTTTTTAATGACTTCTGTGAATAGCCTCCAGATATAAGCCCCTTGCCATCATTGGCAGCGATTAAGCCTTTCTGTTTTCTGACTCCAAGAAGCATGTAGGGAATGCTCTCCTATTGTGATGCACATGAGTTATCCTGTAACATTATCCTGGACCAGATACAACAGGACTTTGAGAGAAGCTTAAATCTCTGATGGGCAAAGAGCCACACACTGTACCCAGGGCTGCACCTAGATGCCTGCAACTTGCAGGCTTACCTCCAGCTGTCACTGGATATTACAACAATTGTGAATTGATTGTCCTTCTTCCTAAGAGGCTGTGGCAGTCTAGATGGGACCATTCCCTGTATATTTCACAACCTGTTCCCTTGAAAAGTGATGTGAAAACAGGACTGTAGGCACTCTCAATGGCACAAGTCTCCCACAAGAATGAAAAATGTGTGCATTCAAGGCTCTGTTCAGGTTCTAGGCAGCAGACATGTCTAAACTCACCATCCCTGTATTTTTCCAGAGATGTTACATGGATGTTTAAATCTAAATTCTTTGTGAGACTCCCATAGCAATCTAAAAATGGTTATACTTTACTGAAGGATGCAAGTGTCTTAAATTATTAAATTTCCCTTATGAAGTATTAAACACATGATCTAGTTACAAACAGTATTCAGTTGAGCTCAGCTCCAGACGTGGGAGGGACAGTAATTTCAAGAATAATTTTCAAAAGACATGCTAGTTTTCAATGCACAGGGACTATTTGTCACCACGGAGCATTCAAAAATGTGATTCCCTTCCATTTAGGAAAGTCTGTGTGCCACAAAATTCTGCTGCATCAGTTTATCAGATCTGGCTCAGCCTTCATCTAAAGCAGAAGATTATAACGTGTGGTTGTAAACCAGATTTTTTCTTCATGAACACATGCATTTCTACACAAATACCCCTACCTGTTCTGCTTTCAGCAATAAACATAATGCCATAAAACTTCAAACCTGCTCCTCCTCCTTACCTTTCACCAGCACAAGAATTGCAATATTGTATTGAGTTTCTATAGTTTTATACCCAACTGAGGAACATGATTCGACAATACTAATCCTCAGCATTCATTTAGAGCTTTGTATCTTCAAAGGGTTGTACAACATTAATAAATTAAGCTCCACTACTCCAATGTAGCCATCACCCCTACTTTATGTAGAAAAATGAGTTGCCGAAGGCAAGTAAATAGGTGTTTTCAGATTTGGGATTAGAATTTGAGTGTTACTCGTAATCAGACCCACACAATGCACAATAGCCAATCCTGACTCTACTTAGTCAGGCTTATTTTTTAAATTAACTATAATTTGTGTGCCAAATTAATATTGTTCTGTAAAATGCTGAAGGCAATGCAATCCAAAATTAAGAAAGTCTTTTAGGTATTATGGCCTCCAGGATTTAAAATACATTAGCTCTGCTGTACAGTTACCAAATGGTGCAGAGCTGAAGGCAAGTAGGATTTTAGCATACCTTGCAGATTTAATGATTTTGAAATCATGTAAAAGTGGCAGCTAGGGTCTTAAGACACCTACAAGGCGACGTCAGTTTCACATAACATAAGCAGACCCTATACGAGATCTTGCCAGATTTTAAGTGGAGAACTACCTTTCTGGGGGCCAAACTAGATGCAACAGTGGCAGACACCATCACTTTCATGCGTCTATCCATAATTGTATCTATCTAATTATAACCTCAAAAGGGAGGGAGTTGAATCATCATTCCTGAAGTCAATTGTCCAAACCCAAAGCCCAGCACCAGAAATGAACCAGGCATGGAGAAGAAACAGAATTGGATTCTTCCAATCAGCTGCTCCCCACCTCCTTTTGACAGGGCCCAAACTTTCTCCATGAACCGCAGCATTCAGATGTGAGTGCCTGGCTTTTCTAAGAGAGAAATTAAGTGACTCCCCATCTTTTTCATGGGGAACCATTGGCCCTCCAGATGTAGTTACCATCATCCCTGGCCACTGGCCATGGTTGCGGGGGCTGATGGGAGATGCAGCTTAACAACACCTGGAGGGCCAAAGGTTCTCCCCACCTGCGTTAGAAGTTTGCTCTTTGGAGCTGCTCTGCATAGTTCTAAGCCAGGGGTGTCAAATTCAAATTCATCGGGGGCCGCATCAGCAGTTTGGTCACCCTCAAAGGGCCGGTTCGAGTTCGAGTGTCTTCAAAGCCCAAAGACACCTTTAACAGCTGGATTAAGTAATGCAGAGCTTCTGGCTCATGGAACACTACACCTTGATTTCATTTGAATACATATATGAATATAAAAATTGTTTCCTGTTTGGCTTGGTGTTTAAGTTACACAAGATGTGCAGGTTTTAATTTTTCTCATTCCCCAAATTTTAATCAAGCATTTGTTTGGATTTTTTCCCCTTTGCTACCTACCCTAAACCTTTGAGGAGGGCGGGAACTGATGGCTGGACCCTATAATAACATTGAGGAAAAAATTGCATGAAATAAACCAATTCCTTATCAGCTTTTTTCCCATATATAAATTTTTGCAACACGCACCCTGCGGAAGCCGCACCTGACGTTATTTATGTATCGAATTTGCTTTTGAATCGCGAATCCCCAGAGGCAGGGGATGCTGTTCATTGGGCAGCGCGGAAACGCGCCTAAAGAAATAAATAAAGAAAAGCAAAGCAAAAGCACGCTGCCCCGAGTATTCACAGGGCGCGCTCCCGAAACACAAGTGCGCTCTCGGTTTCTCCCTCTCCCGCCAACGCGCACGAAGCCAGCTCTGCCCCTTCTCTGCGTTCCACCTCGCGCAGGCGCGCTGCGCTCCCGCCGGGACTTATTTCACCCCGGCCAGCCCGAAAAGAAGTTGAGAGCAGCGGCGGCAGCCTCCCATATCCAACCCTGCCCTCGCTGTGTCAAATAAGTCTCGGCTAGGTAGCTGGAGGAGGGGGAGGTCTGCGCCTGCGCAGAAGGGACCCGAGGCGCCCTGCGCGGGCGCCACAGCCCAAGCTTCCCTCACAGATATATATAGACCAGGCTACACGGGCCACATGACGAGGTCTCGCGGGCCGGATTCGGCCCGCGGGCCTTGTGTCTGACACCCGTGTTCTAAGCTAATGTGTTGATTGAGGGAAGGAGGGAGGAAAAGCATCTTGGAGAAGGGGTGGGGGAGAAACAAAATCTGCACACCAACATAGAGTATGTGTGTTATATATTTAAAAAGCACATGTGAAGGACAGAGTAAGTGGAATGGTAGGAAAGAGCAAGGCAATGGAGATCTTTAAGGTGGAAAGAAGTTTTTTTTTAATGTTTCCATTATTCTGAATATGAAAAAGCTCATTTATCCCACTAGAGTGTGAATGAAGAACCTTTCACCCTCCCAGTGTTGTTGGATTGATGCAAGGGTTTTTCACATCAGAGTAAAGACCGGCTTGCTTGGATTGGATTGGAGAGGATCTGAAAGGAAAAAATGAGAAAGCTATGGAACAAAAGAAGGGGAGGGGGGAGGAAAATGAACTCGATTCAGGAGGAAAGTAGTTGGCTGAGATGACACAAGAAACAAACCAAATTTTGGAAAAGGAAGAGGAGGAAGGCAGAGAGGGCCACAACATCCGCTCTGTAAGCCAAAGGTCTCAGGTTCAAGCCAGATGGGCAGGGTATAAATAATAAATTATTATTATTATTATTAGCCCAGACATCTCTAGATAGGGCTCAGAACGTTGCCCGTCTGGGACACTGAAGAGCTGCACTTGGCATGAGACAAGTTCCTGTGTTCCTATGAAGGAACAACAATAGTATAAGAAAGAAAAATTAAAGCTGCAGCCCTAGAACCACTTTTCTGGGAATAAGTCCTGTGGATCGTAATGGGACTTGATTCCAAGGAAACATGTATGTAGGACTGCACTGTAAAGTGCAGAAGCAATAAGCTGGAAACAAATAAGATAATAAATGGAGCATGGGAGGATAGAATACAAAGGGAAGAGACTTTTGGTACATTTACGTGATAGATCCCTGCTCAGAAACCTCCAGCCTTTAGAGACAAGAGGATAAACAAATTGAAGTGGTCAGATATTACTAGCTCATCTACAAAGTCCACCTGAATAGTGAAGTATTTCATAAAAGTCACACATACACCCTCTTTAGCAGTGCTACGCAGGTAGCACACTTGAATCTTGGTGCGTCAGTGCCCACATAATCAGAATTAATTAATTTGTGTCTCTTTTCAACAGAGTTCAGTTTGGGTATATCACAATAGCTATTATCGCAGAGCCATATTGTTTCTATTTGTGCACAATGGTCTCCATGGAATTCTATGACATAGTACTGTGAGGGGGGGAAGATCTCTTAACACTTAAGCAGCTTTGCCATGCTCAAGGGAAGCGTTACAGTTTCAAAGAGTAAGCCAACATTACCTTATCAAGTTCCTGCTTGCGTTAGTACAGAATCATTCCAGTCTGGTGGTACAAAGGAAATCAATGGCTAGGATATGAAGGTTACTTAAGGAACTGTACAATAGGAAAGTTTCTCAGTCCTTACTCTTCCCTATAACCACCTGTGATCCCACCTAAAAGTATTGCTTTGGGATCAACAGAGCCTTTAAACAATCTGGGGTAAGGGCTAAATTGGAGGAACTCCTTTAAAGTTAACATCTTTTGATCCAAGCCAATAGGTTTATGATGTCACAATATCTGAGGTTTATTATAATTTTCTTCTGACATCATAGAAGTTAATCAGTTCTGGGAGCAGGAAGGAATACAATGTTCACGTTTTCAGTTTTATTGAAGGGCGGAGTCCAATTCTTCACCTAGTTTCTCACTGAAAATGCCATCACCCTACCTATGTAAGGTCAAATTCAATTTTGTCACACTAGACCCTGATTTTGTACTTTATTTCAAATGAATGCAAATCAGCAACTCTTTGGAAAGTGTCAACTCATTCACAAATCCTGAAGCAAGTATCTCATCACCCGCTAGTCCTTTTCTTTGGGGGGCGGCGGTTATCCTATAATCACCCAATTTGCTTTCATTTAAAATTAACCTGAAAAATAAAGCAGCCTAGGAAATTTGCTAGATATTAAGTCAGGTAGGTATAACACTGCCAAATTCTTCTGCAACAATCTCGTTCCGTGATATTGCAGAGTCTGCCTTCCATATCTGTGCTCTGCCATGTCAACCCGAGCTCAGCACAACAGAGGTCGAAGGCTGCGGTGCTCGGCTTGGAATGAAAAGCGTCCTGCACAATATCTTCGGCTATCCCTGATGTCCTAGACTTGCAACTCAATTATTGCTGAGCTAAGGAACGGGGGCTGCAGTTCTTTCCTCTTCCCCTCCCTTTCACCTTCCTCACTTGAACAACAGGAAATCCATCTGCCTCCGTGAGAAAAAGAGGGGGGGGGGAAGGAGCGAGATAGTGGGGCGAGAGACCCGGACAGGGGGAACCTGCGCAAGACTGAGAAGAGTCCATTTCCTCGGGGTAGCAAGCATTCCGCGCGCTCTCGCAACTCACCTGCATTCAAGGAGGTGCCATTTCCTCCGTCCAACGTGCCAAGCTCCTTATCTGTCTCTAGGACGCGCTTCTGGGTCAGAGGCTACAGCTTGAGCCCCGGGACCTTTTCCTCTCCCCCTCCCCGCCGCTGTATCAATTAACCCCTTCCTCTCCCTTTGTAACTTTCTTACCTTCCAGCCGTTGCTGGCGGCGCCGGGGGCCGGAGGGTGGGCGCGCTGCTTGGCCGGACTGCTGCGCCCATTGGCGACGTCCCTCGCGGGCAGGTGGAGGGGGCTGCCGTTCCCCACCTTGCCGGCCTGCTCCGCCGCTCCCTCGGAGGCCGGGAAGAGCCCGCAGCAGCGCTGGAAGCGGGCCACGGGCTGCGAGTCCAGCAGGCAGGCCATCCTCCTTCCCGGCGGCTGGGGACTCGCTTCCCCCGCCCAGGCGCGGCGCGCAAACACAGCCCAGCCCGGCCGGCCGGCCACCGCGTTGCGGAGGAGCCAAGGAGAAAGGGCGGGGCTCCGGGCGCCCCGCGGACAGGTGCAGGCGGCGAGGCCCCGCCCACCCCTGGCCGCTGCCCACGACCCTCCTTGCCCCGCCCCGCCCCGCCTTGCATGACGAAGGCGGGAGAGGTGACAGGGTGATCTCTTAGTCCGACAGGAGCGCAAGAACCTGCTCTATGTGGAGCTGAAACCAATGCCAATCAAACCCAGCCAACTCCACACCTGCCTGCCTACCCTATCTTCCTTGGGAAATACTGCAAATGATCTTTCTTCTGGCTATATAGAGCATCCGCTCTGATGGTGGTTAGATGTTGGGCTGAGACCCAGGTTCCAATCGCCACTCTGCCAGGAAGCTCCTTGGGGGAACTTGGACAAGGCACTGATACTTAGCTGAACGTGCCTTCAAGGCTGTTGCAGGGACAGAGGTGTACCTCAGCTCTTGTGCCCTTGGCAGTGAGCTGTATTGGCACTCTGCCGCATCACTTGCACCCTTGGCAATGAGATGTATCAGAGACCAAGGACCAGAAACCCCCAAAAGTTTCCTTCTCACTGCCTTTCGCGCTCTTCCAGTGACTTCCTCCATGCAAAGGTGGTTTTAGGGCAGTACAACTGGTTCAGCACCACTGGGCGCTACGCTGCAGGGGGTGCTGTGACAATGCTATAGAATGGAGCATGAGAGGCAGGGGCACCGAATTTTAGTACCACACAAGGCACCGCTGAAATTTGAGAGCGTAAAGTCCACAGCCGTCAATATTGGGTCTGCTCTGCTCTGCCTTTCCTCCTCCTCTATCAGTCTGTCTACCTGCCTCCCAGCCTTCCTCCTTCCTTCCACTCACTGCTTTCCATTCTTCCTCCTTCTGCCTTTCCTTTCCTTTTCCTCCTCTGGCAACTCTTATTACTCTCTCCCTCTTTCTCCCCTCTGAGTCCACTCACACTTCTAATAGCACTGCTGGCCAACTGAGAAGGAGGCCCCACAGAGCTGTTGCTATGGTCCATACCAGTGACTGAATTAATCCACCGTGGCACCTGGAGGAGCCTTAAAACCTTGTCCAGATGCCCAGAGCAGCAGAAGGGCAGTCCAGGCAGTGCGTGGATGGGCAGGCTGGCTTCTAGCCACTCTAAGCCAGAGTGGAGAGGTTCGGTTTTTGTGCCCTCCTTGGGCCTGGGCTTTTGGCAAGGGCCAACCAAACCAACCCATAGGTGCAACCTCTGTGTGAGGACAAAGAGGAGGGATGCAGGGACATACTGTCCCAAGTAATCTTGTGTGCTCAGAAGGAAATCCTTGTACGGTTTGGTTACAGCATAGTGTTCATAACGCCAAGGTTGCAGGTTCGATCCCTGTATGGGACAGCTGCATATTTCTGCATTGCAGGGGGTTGGACTAGATGTTCCTCCAGGTCCCTTCCAACTCTACAATTCTATGAGTCTAAGTTTAGTGAGGCTTGCTGCTGTGTAAATTGTATAGGGCCATAGCCTTAGTTACTGAGCATAAGAAGGAAGTGCAATAGAAATGTAACCAACAAAATCAATGGGTGTGCTAGGGCCAAAGACAGCTATGGAATCCAGGTAAGAGACTTGCTAAATTTACAGCATGAACCAAACCGTTTCTGCTCAGATTCCCCCTTGAATTCAAGGTAAGTGGAGTTGGGACTGCAGCCTTAGTTAAAGTTCATTCACTAGTATGTATGAGTTCCAGCGTCTCAGCCAGAATCAGGAGAGGTGCTGTCCAATAAGTCTGACACAGCTGCGTTACATCTGCCACTTGGGACCTACATAAAGCAGTGCTTTGTATCACTATGCTCATCTTGAAATAATAGGATCACCTTTAATTTGTCCTGGCTGATTAAGTAACATCAAAAGCTCATCAACTGGTGCTCTGAGTCTATTGCTGATTTTCTAGAAGAAGCTGCTCTTTCCTTTTGCAGGTGCTACTTATCTGCCAGCCTACTTTGGGCTGTGCTGCCGCTTTAACTAGGGCTAAACAAGACTGCAATGCAGATGCGCCTGTTTACAGAGTACTGCTCTCAGCACAGCCTGGTGCCCTCATTTTGATGCTGTTGTCTTTCCAAAGCTTTGTGCTGCGCACTTCACTGTGGTCCCGGCGTTCTGCCACACAGAATAGAGAGGGCCATCTGCTCAAAGCGTAGGGTGAGACCCTAAGGTCCTACCCCATTTGAAGCCATACTACTGCCCCAAAGAAAGCTCATTCACACAGCACCTTCCCACTGATTAAGGCTGTGATTCTATTCATGCTTTCCTGGGAATCCCATGAAATTCTGTGGGCTAACTTCTGAGTACGCTTGTATAGGATTGGACTGTAAGGGTGCATAACCCAGAGGACAGTGTGCCACAATCAAGGAAGCCAAATAAATATATAAAAACTTCAATATGCCTGTAGAACAGACAGCGCCAATGAGCACAAAAAAGTCTTGTGTTTTATACAATTCCTTTGAAATATATTCAATATTTTGCTGGCCTTGCTCTAGGAAACCAGAGTTAACGGAGTTTAACTTAAGCTTAATGTGAAATTATTTAGTATGGTATTGCAGCATAAATGCAACCAGGACACTTCCAAGAAGAATTAATTTAAAATCATGGAACATTAAGTATCTGATTCATCTTCTTTTATATACATTTTTTTGTGGAAACTTTGCAAAGACACATCACAGACATTTTGCCTAGAAACTTCAGGAAACTTAATGCCCCTCTTTTTTTAAATATAAAAGCAACAACTCCAGCCCTTTCCCCAACAAATTTGTTTGTAAAAAGGAGTACCCACAGAATGGCCTGGAAGTAAACATCCTTCTACTGTTGAGTTAAGCAGGTTTAGCTCTGCAAACTGCCTGAAAAGAACCCCCTCCAACCATATACAACTCACTCTGCTCCCCTTAGAGCAACATTCCCCAACCTGTGCCCTCCAGGTGTTTTGGACTACAACTCCCATCAGCTGCAGCCAGCATGGCACCAGGTTGGGGAATGCTGCCTTAGAGGGATCCAGGTTGCGAGTGGTGGTGATCACGACAGCAGAAAAACCTGAAAAGTCTGGTTTCTGCAATTCTTGGAAAACAAAGCCACCAGCATTTGTTATCCCAGAGGGCTACTTTCAGATCTCTCTCCCTGTATAAGAACCAGTTACGTAACTATAGTGGACAGAGAGGCAGACACAGACAGGATGGAATTTGCTACTTGGTCACATGTTTGCTGAATAACCATAGGAACAGGAAGCTACCATTGATCTATCCAGCTTAGTACTGTTGACTCCAATTGGAAGTGGCTCTTCAGGGGCTTAGAGAAGGGTCTGCGCCATCACTTCCTACCTGATGCTTTTACACCACAGGTGAGAACCCTGCTTCTCAAGGGCCACAAGTTATTTAGGCCTCATTTTATTTAGCCCCAATGTCTCCTGAAGCTGCCGCACTCTCACATCCTGTCAGAGTTCCTTCCTGTGCAATTGCTTCTTTCTATGTAATTTCAGAACAACTGGAAAGGGCAGTACAGTGGTACCTTGGTTTACATAGGCTTCAGGTTACATACGCTTCAGGTTACAGACTCCGCTAACCCAGAAATAGTACCTCGGGTTAAGAACTTTGCTTCAGGATGAGAACAGAAATCATGCTCTGGCGGCGTGGCAGCAGCGGGAGGCCCCATTAGCTAAAGTGGTGCTTCAGGTTAGGAACAGTTTCAGGTTAAGAACGGACCTCTGGAACAAATTAAGTACTTAACCCGAGGTACCACTGTATTTTATTGAATAGAAATAAATCAATGTTTGCTTTTTGAACTTTTTTTTCTTGGTTGCAAGACTTTGGGGGAAAGAAATAGTGCCCCACCCATCTGAGAACAAGTTGGTAGGTGTGTGTGTGTGTGTGTGTGTGTGTGTGTGTGTAGCACATTAAAGTCAGAAAGGATTCCCCACCCCCACAGTAGCTGTATGGTCAGTTGTACTGGAGAAAAAATCAAAATCCTCTGTATGCTTATTTTACTGTAACCTTTTCCAACCCAGTAGAGCTTATCTGCGTAGACCTGAATAGGACTGGGAATTCTAATCTGAAGTAAATTTGAAGCAGGGCGATCCGTTATTTGGGATTAGTTCATCAAAAAAGGAATGTCTTTGCCAATCAGCAGCTCAAACTCTGCCCACCAGCTGGCATGCAGCCCCTCACAAATTAACCCCTGAGGGGATGCAGCCCTCCACAAAAAGTAAAGTTCCCCACCCCTGTTTTAAATAGATATCAGGGATTAAACCTGCATACAAAACAGTGTGCATTATCACTAAATTATGGTCCATCGCCTTGGCTACTCAGTCTCTTTCAGCCTCACCTTCCTTGTAAGCTTGTTCTCAAGATGAATGAGGAGGGGTATAATATATACTACCCTCAAGGATAAAAACAAATAAATATGAAATGTCATGCAGTGCAGTGGTACCTCGGGTTACATACTCTTCAGGTTACATACGCTTCAGGTTACAGACTCCGCTAACCCAGAAATAGTGCTTCAGGTTAAGAACTTTGCTTCAGGATGACAACAGAAATCGTGCTCTGGCGGCGCAGCGGCAGCAGGAGGCCCCATTAGCTAAAGTGGTGCTTCAGGTTAAGAACAGTTTCAGGTTAAGATCGGACCTCTGGAACGAATTAAGTACTTAACCCAAGGTACTACTGTATAGTTAGAGGACTAGGCACAGTTAGCAAATAAATGGGGCAGGTCCACACCACACATTTAAGCGCCTTCAATACACATTTCAGGCATGTGATTCCCCACAAAGAATCATGGGGATGGTAGATTTCTCTTCACAGAACTACAATTCCTAGCACTCTTTACAAACTACAGTTCCCATGATTCTTTGGGGAAAGCCATGTGCTTTAAAATGAGTGTTGATTATGCTTTAAATGTATAGTGTGGGTCTCTCCATAGACCCCGTGTTCTAACCTCTGATGTTATATTTTCCAGGGGTCATGACAGAGGTGTATATGATGGTACAGTTCCCATGATTCTTTGGTGCTATATTTTCCAGGGGACATGATAGAGGTGCA